CGCTAATACGCAAATATTCAGAGCTTCTCCGGGCACGGCACGGCATTAGTCTTAGTTTTGATTGTAATGGCTCATTTCTTAGCCCTTTTAGGTGGAGAAAACGAACTTACGTGTTCCGTTGCACGCTGGATTGCTACAGCGTATGCACACCAATACTCGCGATGTAATGGGCGTGAAAAAGTCACTAACCAAGTCACCAGTCACATGCCAATTTCATTAATTATTTCTTTCTTTAAATATATTCATAATTTATTGCTATACTAAAACGACATCTTCGACTTCGCGTCAAGCAAGCGTTCATAAATTCAACAGGATTCGCGAAGCCCATCTTAACTTTCTCAAGTTGCAAGGCTTTTTCTCATTGCATCCCCTCCTCGTGATATGGACGATTGATTCAGTATTTTCGATTATTTTCTTAATGGTATGAATGACATGACCTATGCGTTTTTGTGTTGTATGGTGTTCGATTCTACATCCGCTCGTGGCCGGTTTGGTTTTTGTGGTGCATATTGTTTGCGTGTAATGGATTATTTCAATATGACAGGTAATTCTCTGGATATTTATATCCAGAGTCCAGAGTTTAGGTGGGATCGAGACCCCTCGTGGATCCTATGTAAACGAATAATCGGATACTTGTGTAACCACGTCAATTTTACTTACTTACTAAGAGTAAGATTAACTGACGAGATACTGGATGATATCTGATATTCTATGCGGAAGAGGGTGAATGTTGATCCAACCGGTGAAGAACGACATTCGTGCAACTTGTAACTAGAGCAACAATCGTGCAACACTGTAGCGACATTGCTTGGTTTCAGGTGGTGTGCCAGTTTAAGTCAAAAATAGACTTGGTTGGAGTATGGATAGATACTGTTTATGTGCGGTCTTGCAAGTACACTTAAATTTCTGTAAATTCTGATTTACACTCTGTAAAATGAGAGTATTGTGAAGGATCAAAGTATGGGGTATATTAACTAAAAGGGTAAAGTACCTAGAAGTTCGCAATAAACAAAACCGGATCTTTGTGGCTGCTCTGTGTCGTCGGTATCTCTGCTTGCTGCTCTTCCTGGTCGAGGACATGCTCCTGTCCCTGTTCCTGCTCTTGGTGGATATCCTGTTCTTGCTTGCACTCCTGCTCCTGACGCTGATCTCGTATTGTTTTTGTAGGTCTTTTACTCTTTGCTAGTTTTCGGGTTCGGTTCGGAGTCTTGCTTGAGAAGGCTTGTTGTAGCATCTCGCGAGTTAACAACCTACCAGCTACTGTCTTAGTTTTCCTCTCTTTCCCTGCTTGTGTTGACGAGCAGGTAGAAGTAGTATATCGTGCTGCACTGTCTCCTTGTAGTGCAACCGCGCGGCTTCTTTACAGACGTGGGGACGCCGTTATCTTGACAGTTGTGTATTTTTTCGTGCATTTTTACGAGGTTTAATGGAAAAAATTCCGCAGTTCCGAAAGCCTGAGGAAATGTTGATGTTGAAGTTGCAACTTGTCCATGCAAGAGTTGCCACTTTGAGAGCTTTTTCGTTGCTGATCACATTAAAACCATTGGAACAAATGACAGCGTCGATGAGATGGTGGAGTGTGTTTTTAAACGAAGAGAACACTATAACGTCCAATGGTTGTAGTAGGTGAGTGCGGTTGCGGGAAAGCAAACCAGTTTGACAAGCATCCGGTCGGTGGTCCCGACGATTCCATCGGCAATGCGGGATGCGCAGCCATCCATGACGAGGAGTAGTGGTCGTTTGACTGGTGTAGGAACAGCAAATGCGAAAAACAAAGATCCATTAGCAAATAGAGTCGCTGTCATAAACGCCTTGTTGTAGTTGTAACTGCAGCTCCAGGTATACTACATTGTTCAAGAACTTCATTTTCCACTGGTTCACAAGGTAGAACAAATAAAGGAGGTACGACAAAGCCTCCATCGCTACTGCACGCTACAATAGAGAGAAGAAAGCGTGTAGTAGGATCAGTGTGCCAAACATTTTTGACCCTTCACGAGCTACCACGCGTGTTGTTTTGCGGGAACTCTCGAGTGCAGTTTCATCAACGTTGAACACGCGAGTCGCGTCCATGTTCTCTTCCACGATAACCTTAGCCAAAGACCCGAAAAAGTAGCCACTTCCATTTTTGTCACGTAATTGCGCACCTTCGACACCGACTTAGAGACCCGATAGCTTACGTCAGGAAAGCGAGTTTTGAACCGTCGATACCAACCCTCACCTACTGGTTGATGAATAACCATCTTTGAAAATGTGGCTGGCTTTTCTGACGATGTCCTTCCTTCCAACAGGAGCTCCTTTAACCTGCTGACTCACGACCCAATCGTGAATACTGGTTTCAGATTCCTTTGGCAGAGCGGTGTCAGGGCCGCACCGTTTGCTGAAGGTGTAAGGGGCCTTCATTCCCCTCTTCGTGCCATTTTGTGTCTTCTCCAACCCATCGGAACAAGTTGCGGGCAGGAACACCGTTCTTCTCGCTGATATCGTCGATATCGCCCCCTTCTCGGATAGACTTCACGAAGGCCATCTTCGATTTTTTGCTGTACGTGCGACACTTCATATTTGGCAGCTTAGATCAAAACTGAGAGGTATAAGTGGAAAGGCGTACGTGTCTATATATAACCAATCAAATGCAGATTCAACTGCTATTGGCGCGCCTTAATCTGGCCCATTGACTTAAACTGTCCATTTACCTTAGACGTCGTAGCTGTTGTCTCTGTACCCACAGACGTCGTATCAGAAGCCATTTTCCCCCCGGCATCATAGCCTTAGTAATCGAGCGCCAGTCGTCATATCCGTCGCTGCCATAGCCAGAACCATTTTTACCGAAGTGGGCTTATCCCGTACTCGTTTCGTCGTCGTATTCGTAGCGTAGCCGATGTAGCCAGAACGCAGGCCCTCGTGCTGTAGTGGTCGTACCCGTCGAGGCGAGGGTCACCTTGCTTCGCAGTGATCGTTACGCGCACGGTGGAGTCGTTGAGTGTGCGCGCCGGACTGCAAATTCGCTCACGGTGGAGTCGTTGAGTGTGCGCAAACTGCAAGCAAAACTAAATTGTCCGGAAAACAGGATAATAGTAGCCATTATAACTCTTATTTCAGGATGGGCATCCAGTAAAATCCGACTTGTGACTCTTACGTTTCATACAATTTTCGTGATGATTGAGCAGGATCGAGAATAGCTCGGAATTTGACCAAGAAGCGCCGCTTGGCACCGTTATAAAGAGCGGATCAATGCTTTTACACGCAAACCCATCTAGTTGTTGCGCCTTTAAAAACAAAAACACATATGTCCTTATATCGCTTGACAGGTTTGTGGCGTATAAGAAACACAAATAGCTGGCAAAGAACACCGTTTTCGTATCCGAAACGCCTAGTTTTGAGTGGATACATTCAATGTCAGCAACTTTTTAAGTGGGTGTACGAATTGTAAAAAAAAAAAAATGCTGGGAGGTTTTCGATCTCGAAGACACCGACTGGCAGTGTTCCCTCAAGCGAGAACTTGATCAATTTCTGAGCGAGTGAGACTTCCTTTACAGTCGTGGATTGCCACGCGTACGCATTGAATCCTTCGTACTTGAATAGTACATGTACTTGGCAGTTCTCGTTGACGTATATGCGTTAGGGTCTGGCCATCATAACTTTAATAAGCTATCATCCCGCGCACGCGCGACAAGTTGAACGAAGCTCGTCCAAGCATAATGTTCTTTGAGGGTATACTAATGTTACTTGTAACTCAGTTTCCCAATTTTACATTAGGAAAAGGTTTTCTGCATTTTCTACTAGATTCTGCAGTGTACACCTCGTCTTGCACTGTAACCGCACCCACGCGCATCAAAATTCCTTTCATTGTGGAGTCCTCAGAGCTTGTTCAACTCAGATCTGTTTGTATGCTTGTTTGAAAAAAAAATCATCCAAAAGATTATTGCAGTATCGAGCAGACGGTACGGACCACGTAGATTACTATTAACCCCTTGAACGCGAAGAGCCTGGACCTTACACGTTAAACGAAATTCCTTAACGTGTACGGTCCACGTTAAGGACTTTTTGACTTGCCTTTTGTATGGTTCCATACGAAAAGCATGTCACCTAGGGGTAGGTAGTGTATCCACGGTTTTCCATTGCTTTGCAAACTGTGTGAAAGCCGTGACCAGTTGTGAGCACAGGATGGACATATTGGGTGTACCACACAACTGTTCAGTGGCCACTCATTTTTCTCATTCATTCGAGAATCTCCCCCGTCAAGCTGATATGGCGTTCGCTTCGCGTTGGAGGGAGCTGAAAAAGGATGGCTGGAGGTCAAGACGCCCAACTGGGCTGTCTAACCATTTCACGTATCTCAAGCCAGGCAAAACAAAGAAGGATGTAAGAAGGACAGACTATTTTGTTGGGGAGGAAGAGTTGATGCGATACCTGGACACGCTGGACCTCGGTAAGACACTTGCTGATACGTTTTGGTGATGGATGCTAACTTCTGTGCTGTAGCCGAGCTCGCCCGGGAAAAGCAGCGCAATGAGGGGCATGTAGCGGCCTCACTGGCTTCGGAAAGCTCAGATAAAGGTAACGAGCTAGTAACGTGTATTAGACATGTTTGAGAGTGTGCTTATCATGTACCTGTACTGCAGCTCACGCAGGAAGCGCTGGAAGCGCTGGAACAGAACAACCTGCTGGTGAAGCTGCACACGAAAACTCTGCTGATGCTGGCGAAGATAATGTGGGCGCTTCGCTGCGCAACGAAAGCTTGCTCGCACAAGGCAACCGACTTACAACGCCATCTCCAGAGAACAACGCAGTCATAGTTGAAGGGTCGCCTCTTGGCATGTCGTATTCATCTGCGGACGAGTCTGTTGAGAGCAACGAATCCGAGTCATTGCCAGGTACGATTGCTGCTGCTGATTTACGCATTAGGCATCGAATCATAACGCTACTGTTCTGTAGGCTCATCACGGAACCCCAGGAACCTCGAAAGCGCGTTTCAGGACGCAGACGTCACCAGCAATCACGAAGAAGTGGCCTCGTCTAATGCGGAGCTCACAGACAAAGCAGGTACGCGCCAGCATGTGTATGTACACGTTAAACAGTCTGACTAACATGTATTATTCATACAGAGATCAATAACGAGAGCAAAGGTACATGTTAAGGACACATACACTATACGATTGAAGAATAACGTGTATGTTCATGTTTTGCTCGACCAACCACAGATCTTGTTGGCGATGGATACGTGCGCTTGGAATCTGACTCCGAAAATGATGAAGGTGTGAGCTGGGATGCTGATGATTTGCTGGCCGACAATAGCCATCCCTTGGATGATGAAGAAATTCCACCACCGCCCGAAATGCTATTTGACCGGTCGCTACTTGATGCTGTTGGAGGTGTTGGAACAGTGGAGCGTGGGCCGTTACCCATAGAGCTTCTTGGGGAGATGGCAGAGCGAGGTTGGTCTGCACCAACAACACAGACGCCGTACGACTATCTAATGGAACCGTATGAGCCTCGACCTACCAACGCAATGCTTGACGACTATCCACGGCTATACCAGGGGGAGTTCGGTCCCACATCACGAGCTCTATTAGCTGCTGCAACGCCATCTGGGGCATTCTTGTACTTTGCACAGCCTGCGCTGTGGGACGATATTGCTAGTGCCAGTGAGGATTACTACCACGAGAGCCTTGACGACCGTGTAGAAGGGCAATTCGCTAAGCAAGTGGCAAGGGAAACGAAGCATCCTGGCTTCAAGCGAAAAACTCGCGAACAGATTCGAGAGGAGCTGGAGCAGGCTGCGGCAATAACGGGGCGAGAGCTGTGTGTGTTCATCGGGCTGCTGATTGCAAGAAGTGTTTGCCCGAACAAGGAGAAACTTGAGAACCACTGGAAAACCGTGGATGAGGGGGCGATTCCTCGCGGGTGTTTCGGTCAGTTCATGGTTCGTGATCGGTTCATGCACATCTCTCGTAACTTGCATTTTAGCTCCAACTCGGATGAGCGTGCACGTACCGATAAGGCGTGGAAATTGAGGCCTGTGATTGATGCCTTGCAGGCACGCTTCCAGTCTGGCTACATACCCCCAGCAGTTATGGCTTTTGACGAGGCCATGCTGCCTTCTCGTTCGAGTTTCAATAAAATGCGGGTGTACATGAAAGACAAGCCCCATAAATGGGGGACAAAGCTATTCATGCTTTGCTGCAGTACAACGGCGTATTGCATTCGGTGAGTCAAGCTAGTGCTCCATCATGGGGCACTAGCTTTTTTTTTTGATATACAAGTTCTTTATCGTGGACCGTACACACTAACACTTTTGCTATCTTGTATGTACAGTTTTGAAGTTTACCTTGGTAAACAAGCCCAAGAAAGTCAGTCCACTGATTACAAGTCTGGCCCTGCCGCTGTAACACGGAACCTCGAGCACGTTTTCGGCCCAACAGGACCTGGAACAGGAGCAATGCGGCTTGTTGTGACGGACAGATACTACACGTCGGTTCCGTTAGCGATGCAGATGCTCACGAAAGGCTACTACACCATCGGGACGATTCGTACCGATAGGCGCGGGCTTCCGGTGTCGCTGGTTGGTAAGAAGGCAAAAAAGGGAGAAAAAAAGGTGAAGGCGCCTCGCAGTCGTCCAGCAAATATCGACAGAGGTACTTACACTGTTACGGAATCAAATGCTGTCCCTGGCTTGCGGGCTTTGCGCTGGTGGGTAGTCAAGCGGTTTACATGCTTAGCTCTGGAGGGAGTGTTGAGCTGGATCGTGTAGTTCGTCGTGACAAATTGAGCGGGCAACAAGCGGAAGTGGCATGTCCTCGCATTCTAAAAGATTATCAGACTTTCATGGGGGGAGTCGACGTACACGACCAGTTGAGACTACAGAGGTAAGTCTTTCGCTATGGTGTATGGACACCTTACCGGTTTGGCTAATCGTGTATTATACATGCTAACCTTAGGTACTCTCTCCAATTGGCGATCAAGTACAAGAAATATTACAAGTCACTCTTTTTGGGACTCGTTGATCTAGCGATTATAAATGCCTACATCGTCTACAACCAGCGTCGATCGAAGGATGGCCTGCGGAAGGTGTCGCACGTAAAGTTTCTGAAGCAACTGCATCTCGAGTTGTGCCAGCTCCGCGACAGGGATTGGGAGTCGCTACGCACTAATGAGGCACTCCAGTCGACCCCAGCGAGGGCTCAATCCCGTCAGGCTGCCACGCGTCACATGCCTGTGCCGAACAACGAATGGCGCCCTGGGAACAACCACGAAGGCCGCAAGAGGCGCACCAGGGCGTGCAAGGTTTGCTCTCTAATGAAGGGTGTGGATGAAGAGGGTGTCGCTGGTGGCGGTTCTTCAATATTTTGCAGTGACTGCAAGCTGAAGCTGAAGACACGAAAGAAGAAGAGAGAAACGTCAGACGAAGAGCGTGCTAAAGAGGCAAAGGCACGCCGTGTCTTTCTGTGCGACAAGGTGCGGCGGACTTACAACGGTACTGGCATGTCGTGCTTTGATTTATATGGCACAAGGCCTGGAAGAACGGCACCTCCCTGCCATCGACGGTCGCGGAGCGGAAGATTCGGGCGCGCATTCCTGCAGATCTGGACCATGCCGACTACTCCAGCGATGATGGTAGCTCCCGGCGCTCCGACAATTGAACGATTGCTCATTGAACCCGAGCACACAGCCGCTCATTGCTTCTTCTTTTATGCGCATTCACCATGGCTCTGGAGCATGCACCCTGTCCTTGCAATTTCTAACACTGTCTTTGTCATTCAATTAAAGTGTATAGTATCCAGTAAAGTGTATCTCAGCACTGTGTTATCGTGTACTATACACGTTAGCAAAAGTTGCCGCGTCTAGGAGTAGGTGTTGTGTCTGCCTATCCAATATACAAGGTAGCTTTTTGACTACATATTTGTAAACAAGGCGATACACGTTAAAACCCATAGGGTTTCGGTAGATGGGGGCGCTCCAGAGGCCTCCCGTTCAAGGGGTTAAAGTTGTACAGTATGTGGTAGCTTATAGTGTTGGTCGAAAAAGCTACCGAGTTAATACCAATTACCGTTATTCCCATCCTAATAACAGTTATTAGAGGTATTAACTATTATGTGTAGTTGGTGTGCCAGAAATGTTTGCTAAGCAAACTTGAAGCTGTCAGAGCCTTGCGGTGAAACCCACCTAGCATTGTTCATTTTACTCTTTAACAGGAGCACCAGCACATTGTCCCAGCAAGATATCCCTTCGATGAACCGGCAGCAGCTTCTGGAGAAGGATCAGCAAGAGAATAAAGGTGGACTTGGCTGCTCCTCCCATGGTGTGTGGCAAGAGTTCGATGTGATCGTCCCAAGATGGTCAATGACAAAGAAGCAGCACCGTGCAAGCACTGCTCTAAAGAAATTCGCCACGCACAGCCAAAACAAAATCTCCGACCACACATTCGTCGGTGCCCTAGAGCGCCCAACAGCGTCCGCGCTCGGTATCCCTCTACACCTGGAAAACGAGCACGCGAGGCACTAAGTTCACCTACCCCATCCAAGCGAGCTCGCACAGAAAATTTCCGCTCAAATCTTGTTCTACACGGACCAATTTCTCAAACAGAAAAAAACAGTTTCACAATGAGGTCGCTCGAGCATTTTATTCATCTGGTATTCCGTTTCATGTTATTCAAAACCAAGAAATGCGCAGCGTTCTGACAAAGTATCGCCCTGGTATGACGCTACCAACACGCCAAGAACTGGCTACATCTTTGCTTGACAACGTGTACGCCGAAGAGCTGATGGAAGTCATGGATATTTTGAGAAGCCAGGGTAACGTCGCAATCGTCAGTGATGGTTGGTCAGACCCTAATAGTGAGAGTGTCATTAACTTTATGATCGCTGCTTCCCTCATTCGACCCATATTTTGGTCATCCACCCGCTCTCGAGATAAGCAGCACATGGGTGAGTACATGGCATCGGTAATGGCCACAATGATTGAGGAAGTGGAGCGTATTGCTGGAAAAGGATCCGTATGCGCTGTTGTTACGGATAATGCTTCGAATATGCGAAAGTCGTGGGAATTACTCGAGGAGAGACTTCACACTCTGACTTGTAATGGATGTTCAGCTCATACACCCAATCTGCTCTTGAAAGACATGTTCGGGGTCGGATTCATTGGAGATGTATTAGCTAAAGCACTAACTATCACCAAATTTGTGCGTAAACGGCCGGCACTTCTGTATCATTTCCGAGCCAAGCAACGTCAGCGGTTTGGTTCTCGTCAACGGCGACGGGCATTGGTGATTCCAGTATCAACACGCTGGTATTCAAAACCCAATTGCATTTCAAGTGTCGTAGTAAACTAAGAGGTGCTACGCGACGTCTTTCTAAACGTTGAGTTACTAAGTCGTTACTCAAATGCGACTGTAAAGCTGAACCGAGTGTGGAAAAAAGCTTGCTTTCATTTACTCAAACAGTGGAGACAAGTCAGCTACCAGCACTGTGCACTGCAAGGAAGGTTAACCAGACGGTGATAGCGACTCGAGTGCGGAGTATAGCGCCAGTAAAGCAGAAACACCAGCTGCATCAACACCGCGGTCGCATCGACAGCTCTTACGAAGTGGTCGAGCCAGCACTTCTATCAGAGCACACCGTCACATACCGAGTAGCAGCGCAGTAGCGACACTGCATGAGCATAGATGGGGTCTTGCCTACTAGTAAGTTCACGCGATAGCAATCGTTCAGCTCGCCGCATCACGTTTAGCCGTCAGCTACGTCGTGGTTGACCAAAGGCGATCTTGGTAGTTGAACGTCGATTTCCCCACCATTTATACGGCATAAACTCAGTCAGGTCTTCACCCATGCTATTGCTCGCATCCCTCAGCGCCGGTTTCAAGATTTTCAGTGCGTGGCCTGAAAGCTAATGGAGCCCGCTGAATGAATTCGGTTGCGAGCTCAAAGTCGCAGCGGTTGGAAGAATCGCGATGCGTCACTAAGCCTTGGGATGTGGTCACGAGTTGGCTTCGCTAAAAACACTTGCCGTTGTTTTGATGCACAATAATCTAATGTTACTGCCTTTTCATTTCTTAACATTCCCATAAGTACAAGAAAAGCACCACGCCTTCACAAGTAG